TGATGGGAGCTGGGATGCAGGAACATTAGAAGGCTGTAGTTTATTTTGTTTAGTCAGGAGTGTGGGGTTTGGTTTAGATATAAAGCTTGTGGACATGAGATCTGACTTTAAAGTGCCATTTAGCCTTTCCTCAACCTCAGAGCCAGAAGTACTATTGGGGCTGCAATTTCCATTATCCCCAGTCCATATAGCAGATTATTTATTTATTTATTTATTTGCCTATTTCCAACATTTGTACCCCATCCTTCTCAACTACAGAAGGGGGACTCAGGGTAGCTTACAATGGCAACAATTCAATGCCAACACATACAGAATACATACACAATCTATCACAACATAGCACATTAAATAAAACCATTAAGTTAAAATCAATTTTAAAACCATTAACAACCATTTAGCCAAATCCAATCAATTTCAGTGTCCCAAGACTTTGTCAGAACCTGTCCATTGGCAGTTCACATAAACATTGCAATCACTATCAAGCCTGCTCCCCAAATGCCTGGCCTCAGAACCATGATTTAAGCTTCTTCCTGAAGGGGAGGAGGGATGGAACTGACCTAATCTCGCTGGGGAGGGTGTTCCAGAGGGGGGCACCACCGAGAAGGCCCTGTCTTTTGTCCCCACCAAACGCATTTGCGAAGACAGGACCAAGACCAGGGCATCTCCGGACTATCTTAAAGTCCAAGGTGGGACATAGAGGGAGATGGGTTCGGACAAGTAAGCTGGGCTGGAACAGTATAGATATAATACTTTATTTATACCTCATCACCATCTCCCATAGGGACTTGGGGTGGCTTACAAAATAGCACATGATGGTGTCATACAATACATAAAATGCAATACATCAACATATAAAATCAATAACACATTTACATAGAACCAAACATATAAAATTAACAAAAGCGACCTCTATTTGTTGGGTTCTCTCTAGGCAAAATGTAACTGCATGGATATTTTTGACTTTTTACCTTTTGTAGAATATGAGTTTTAGTAAGCAAGTTAGCTCCAAGTCTTTTTCTATCTAAAATGGATGTCTTTTGACTTCAATAAATATTTTGAACCTAAAGTTGTGAGTCTGCAATCTTATGCTATCCTGTTGAATGGAAGCTTATCCTGGCTCACCACATGTAAGTTTCTGCTGGTTATGAAGTTTGCTTCTAGCACTCTGCTATATTTATGGTGGAATCGCACCAACTGAGAGTTATTTTTTGAACCTAATAGCTTAGATTCCCAACACTATTAAATAAAATTGGTAAAATGTGGCTATTCCCATAAGTGATGGTAGTTGTCATTCAATTATATTTGGGGACCCAGATTGGGTAAAAACTAAAGAGCACCAATCCCTATGTAAAAAAATATAGTTGGCTCTCTGTACCCACAGATTCTATGTCCATGGATTTTATGGCCCTTTGAAGGCAACCATAAGGCTGTTGCGGACCTCCACGAAAATGAGTTTGACACCCCTGGGTTTACAGCATACATCTATTGCCCTACAATTATTGACATAAGCACTAGTTTTGAATTGAGACAAGGTGAGTTCTTTTCACCTAAAGTTTTAATTCAAACTGTTTTTCTGAAGTAATCTATCATGCTAGGTAGTTTAGCAAATCAGCTAGAAATATTACTCTAGTGCACATACAATGGATTTTTTTGAAAAACCCAAAGGTGGGTCAAAAACCAATGATTTGTTAAAAGCCACATACGTTTCAGTTGAGTTTTGTACACACATATACCCCATCCTTTTGAGCGATTAAATTATCCTATCAGAGTGTTAGCCTGACCCCTCAGAACATTAACTACATGTATCATTCTTTTCTGTATTGTGTGACAATGTATTGTTATTTTCAATGTACAAACACAGTAAAATATTTACATCTGTAAAAATGCAGAGGTTGAGAGTGTGTTCTAATTTACAAAATGAAAACATCTATATACTAAAGGCCAGTAACTGCAAAATAGCAGTGTTTACAGTGCTCATACTCATCCGATGTCTGGAACTACCACTATGAATGTCATAGTGTTTTCAGTCACAACGCCAGCAATAAACTCAATAGCAAGAAACAACTGGCAAAACAATAGTGGTGTTTCTTTTGTTTTGTTTTTTTATGTCCAGAGAATATTGAGTTGCTAGTACTGCTGCTGTTGTTATTCAGTTATTTAAACAGCATCCCCAGTGTAGCACTGTCCAAAACAAACAAATTGGGCGGGTCCTGCTAAAAGCATACAATCATTCATACACATGCACGCACGCACGCACGCATGCACACACACACACACACACACACACTTAGGTATTAAGAAACACTGTCAAAAGCAAAGTTAAAACCCAGTATTGAATATGATAGTTTGTTCATTTTTTGGTGCTGGTCATCAACCTATATGTATGTATGTATGTATGTATGTATGTATGTATGTATGTATATGTATATATGAGACAGACAGACAGACAAATGCACACACGACACATATATCCATATATATACACAGAGGGAGCCATTATATGCCATTGTGGTGTGCTATACTGATTCAGGTGTTGGACATCGACTCTGGAAACCATAATTCAAATCCCCACTCAGCCATGGAAACTCACTTGGTGGCCTTGGGCAAGTCACACTCTCTTGACCTCAGAGAGAAGGAAAGGTATATTTCTTTTTGAACGAACCTTGCCATGATAGGGCCATCTTAGGGTTTCTATAAAGTAGAAATGACTTGAAGGCACACAACAACAACAAATATACACATACAGGGAGTCATAGAAAGATTCTTGCAGGAACACTAGTCAGGAAAACAAGGAGCAGACAATAAAAAGAGCCTCTCTTCCCCACACTGCCCTATCAATTCTGGAGAAGCAACAATTACAATGGTGAGGAAAGAAGGGACCTTCCAAGCAACCTCAAAGAGGCAAAGGATTCCATTTTCTGGTCTGATCATCCAGATTACACATAAAGGTGAAACAGAAGTCGCAGAAGGGAACTGTTGGATCTGGAACTGAGCCTAACATCTAGTTCCAGACCCACATCAATAAAGTTTATATAAGTGCTATCCACTCCCCCGACTCAATTTGAGTTGGGACTAACCACAAAACCTGACTTTTTATTTTTCCATCCTCTAAATTAAAAATAAACCAAACAAACCTGCACAATATTCAGATGGATGCATGATCCTGGGGATTAGACATTTCTTCTCTGAGCAGCTATTTCCATTTTAATCCAGCTTTCACTGCAAAGCTTTAGACTGAGGCATCACTTCCAACAATATCAACAACCATCACCTAACAAGGACGCACCTATACTTAAAATCAGATTCAAACTGGCACTGAAGAGAGTGGTCTCACTGTACAGATGATTACATAGCGTGGCTGGTGGGAACGAGAGAAAGGGCCTTCTCCGTGGCCGCCCCCCACTTCTGGAACTCCCTTACTAAGAAGTGAAAGATGGCCCCCTCCCTCCCCGCCTTCAAGAAACAGCTCAAGACTGTACCTTTGCTCACTGGCTCATGAGGGGGAGGAGGAGGAGGAGGAGGAGATGGTAATATTACCATTATACCTCTGATTTTTTTTTGTGTGTCAGGAGCAACTTGAGAAAACTGCAAGTTGCTTCTGGTGTGAGAGAATTGGCCATCTGCAAGGACGTTGCCCAGGGACGCCTGGATGTTTTGATGTGTTACCATCCTTGTGGGAGGCTTCTCTCATGCTCCTGCATGAGGAGCTGGATCTGATAGAGGGAGTTCATCCGTGCTCTCCCCGGATTCGAACCTGCAACCTGTCAGTCTTAAGTCCTGCTGGCACAAGAGTTTAACCCACTGCTCCACCAGGGGCTCCTATATACCTCTGATTAATAGCTGCCATCCGTATCTGTGTCCTGTTTTCCCCACCAACTCAAGAGACATCTTGAGCAGTGATCTATGTATTTGCCCCCAAGGAACTAGGAAGCTGACGCTTCTGATTGATGTTTTGTTTCATGTCTGATATAGCAGGCAGCATTATTTATTTATTTATTTATTTATTTAAGTTGTTTAATCATAATTTGTTTCTATATGTTGAGTTGTCAATTTTCATTATTATGGGTATATTGTCATTATGGGTGTATATTATGGGTGTATTGTTATTATGTTCAGGCATCAAATGTCTGCCTTTTATGTTTGGAATCTGCCCCAAGTCTCTCTGGGGAGATAGGGCGGAATATAAATAAAGTTTAATTATATTATAATATTAAATTATATTATTAACCATTTATAAGAGGACTTAATTGAACAGTGCTCATTTTCATTTTTGATCTTAGCGAATGTACCTGTGCTGCTTTCCCCACCATTCACTGAGGTGGGTTCAGGTAGGACATAAGAAAATACTTAAACAGAGGCTGGATGGCCATCTGTCAGGGGTGCTTTTAATGTGATTGTCCTGCTTCTAGGCAGGGGGTTGGACTGGATGGCCCACGAGTTCTCTTCCAACTCTAGGATTCTAAATGGTCAGTGCGAATGAGGCCTGCAAGGTTTGGGCCAGAAAGGGGGCATGTACACTGCAGAATGGGTGCAGTTTGAGACCACTTTCCCTGCCATGGCTCAGTGCTAGGACTTCAGGGGAGCTGTAAGTTTGAGGAGGCATCAAGAACTCTTGGACAGAGGCAGAGAAAAGACCTTGGAGGGCTACAACTCCTGTGATTCCAAGCACTGTAGATCAGGCATTGGGAAACTTGGGCCCTCCAGGTATTTGGGACTTCAACTCCCACCATTCCTAACAGCCTCAGGACCTTTCCTTTCGCCCTTAAGCTGAGGGGGAAAGGAAGGGGCCTGAGGCTGTGAGGAATGGTGGGAGTTGAAGTCCCAAACACCTGGAGGGCCCAAGTTGGCCCATGCCTGGTGTAGATGCACAAAACATCAAGGACTGGGGTGGCAGCAGGGGCTGGTGATTTCCACCTGGGGTGGGTGACCAGCGCCTGGAGGCCCCCTGAACGACCTTGTCCGAGCCGCACTCTCTCAGCCTGCGAAGGGGGCGGACTCACCGGTGATCTGGAGGAGGACCTCCTTCCGGAGGGGCTTGGCCCCTTCCTCCTCCTCCTCCTTCTCCTCCTCCCTCTCCAGCACTTCGTCCAGCGCCGAGAGCGAGCGCCGGGACTTCTTGACCGGCGGCAGGGGCGCGACGGGCGGCAGGGTGGCCGGGGCGGAGTGCCTCCGAGCCTCCGCCGAGGTCTTCCGCTTCATGGCGGCAGCGGGGGAGGAGGAGGAGGAGGCTGCCGCTGCTGCTGCCAAAGCCGAGCGCCCGGGCTCATCCCCGCCGCCTCCGCCTCCCCGCTTCCCGTGGCCGGGGTTCAACCGGGGCGAAGGCGGGGAGCAGCAGCAGCAGCAGCGACAACAAGAAGGCGGGGGACCAGCGCCGCCCCGCCCTCGCCTCCTCCTCGCCCCCGCCGCCGCCGCCGTTCGGACTCGGTCTCCCTCCCGCCCGCCTCCCATTGGGCCCCGGCCGCGTGACGTCACAATACCCCCTCTCTCTGCCCCCGGGGCCGATGTCACAGGAGACTTCAGAAAAGAAGACCGAGGGGTTCCCACCGTCGGGATTGTGACGCAGGCCTTTAGAGGCCCCGCCTACGCACTTCGAAGACTGTCTATCCCGCTTTATATAACACTAGCTGTCCCCTGCCACGCGTTGCTGTGGCCCAGTCTGGTGATCTGGAAAATAAAGTAATGAGAAAGTGTTGGTTTCTAATATATGTAATTTCTTTATGCTTGTGGGTAAACAGTATTTCTTGCTGTTTCTTTGTCAGTGTTGATGTGGAGATTGTCTGGTTTGCCTACTCTGGAACATGCGAAACATCGTTGTCCTTCTTTAGGGGTCCCCACTGGGACCACCTGTACTGGTTTATGCCAGAGCCTTTGCAGTTCGATTTTGAGGTCTTGATAACGGCTGAGTTTTTCCTGTTGTTTTTCCTCAATTCAGCTGCCACCTGGTATGGCAACATCAATAATACAAACTTTTTTCTTTTCCACAATCATGATGTCTGGTTTATTGTGTTTATTATTATTATTATTATTATTTTACTGACACAAAAACACAGTATGTCACAGCAAACGAGATCTATATGCTGGATTTCGTATCACAAAATCACAAGTCGAACACTTCCCAAGCGTCTAGGACTGTGTGATGTATTTTCAAATGATGTGTGCAGATCCAAGTAAGGTGGCCTTTTGCAGTTGACAGATCATGATTTTGTCAATGTTTTTTGTTTCCAAATGCCATCTGAGGTCTTTTGGCACGGCACCCAGTGTTGCAATTACCACTTGGACCACCTGTACTGGTTTATGCCAGAGCCTTTGCAGTTTGATTTTGAAGTCTTGATAGCAGCTGAATTTTTCCTGTTGTTTTTCCTCAATTTGGCTGTCACCTGGTATGGCGACATCAACAATGTGTGGGTCACATTATTACTTTGCTTGGCTATCGGAAGATCTGTGCATGATGGGTTGCAGAAACAGTGTCAACTTCTACTGTGATGGCTTCAGAAAACTTCTTCATCATTGGCAGAAATGTATCCAATTGTCTGGTGATTATGTTGAAAAGTGAATAGTAGTAGTTAAAGAGCACATTCTAAGGATTATTTCTGCATTTGATTTATTAAAATATTCCCATCCAAACCCAAGTAATGAAGGTGGAGGCATTACTTTTCATTCAATCCTCATAGAATCCATATTCAAGATTTCACTTATCTCTGTTTTTTGCGGGGGTGGTGGTGTAGGGATTTGGCATGTTCTTGAAGCAATCCTATGGTACACTTGCCCTAGAAGTTACCATAAAATTGTGTTGAAGGATTAGCAAATTCATAGAGAGGAAACCTTCCTAAGGACCTAATCACATTGAGGTCCAGAACCCTGGGGACAGCGTGGGGCAATGCCCAGCTTCACCCCCTTACAGTTGTGGGCCATGGGCTGCTATCCCATGATGTTTCTTGACTGTCCCCGACTTCCTCCTGAACTGTCTCTGGCTTTTAAAATGAGAAGATGGATAGTCATCTGTATCTTCAGGATTCCCTCTTAGCACGCTTCCAGGACAGAGTCCTATAGGAAGTAGCCCTCGACATATGATGGGCTCTGGCAGACTCTATCCTGGCAGCGTGCTAAGACAGGGAAAAAACCCCATCTGATGAGGTCATAAGCCCTCCAGTGCAACTCTATAGTATGCGGTGACTGGAAGTAAGGCAATCTAGAGACATTCAGTTGTATTTGCAGTTTCATCTAACCATGGTCCAGCCAGGAAAGTATATCCGGCAGATATTGAGGGGTGGGTGGGTGGGTGGGGGTAGGGGGGTGTCTTACAGCATTTGAGTTTGAATAAAGATGCCATATAATTTTGACCTCATTCTACAACTGTGTGCATGTAGAGGGAATTATGGCCACACAAACCTTGTGGCAGGAGACAGTAGGCCCTGCTATATCTGGCAGTTACTTTGTACCAGGTAAACAGGAGAAGAATGACTCATGGATCTGTGAGTGGGTTTTGATACCATTGATGCCAGTAAATCTGATTTCTCTTCTTCTTGAGTCATGCAAATTATTATTATTATTATTATTATTATTATTATTATTATTATGTTTATTTATACTCCACTTTTTCTCTCCGCAAGGAGACTAAATAGCATCCATATATATTATGCAAAGCTCATTTAATATCTAAATGGGTAACACATTGTTTTGGTACATGTGATGAAAAATCCCAGTCTCCTTTTCTTTTGCAAACCCCTCCCCATTTTAATCCATTAAACAACCATTTACTACTCTCTTTCAAGACATCCAGAAGCTGCTACCCGAGGCAGCTGTTTCACACTGATGTATGACTGACTTAACCCTGCATAGTATTTTTCTAGATTGGTTCTCTCTGGCATTATGTTCCAATGGATCAGTTCCTATTAGCTCAGTTCCAGGCCTGAGGCGGGCATGGCTCTGCCATGGCATTTGTGCCGTGAAATTCTTCAGGGATGCCTAAGCTTTCTGCTCTGTTAGATAACATAGAGAATCGTGCCTCTATTTTTCTCTTCTACCAAATTGACAAATGTACCTGAAGCCAATAATGGTTTGGATGACGATTAAGAAATGGAAAGTGAATCCAGGTAAGGAAACAATGTTGGAAACAATGTTCGAAAATAAATGCAGGGAGGTGAATGCCAATCAGCTCTGTATGAAGACAAACATTAAAATATCAAATGCTCAGGTTTGTAGTGCTGATTGAGCCAACCCTTTTTTGTGTGATGCTCAAATGACATCTGACAATGTGCCTATTGACAAGTCCTATTTCAATATGGCAGTGAATTTGCTCTGCCCTGAATATTAAACAAACCATCCAAGCTGTTGAACCTCCTCTGTCCCTTGAAGACGTGGCTATTTAAACAAGCTTTTGAGAGCAGCCGGTCCCTAGTTGTTCTGCACAACAGTTATGCAGCCTGCACTTTATTCCATGCCCTCACTCTGTTGTTACAGCTCTGCACTATCCCATTCCCTTGTTCTATTGTTTACAGCCTGACCATGTTTACAGCAGATTGTGCCATTGGTTGATGAGCCCAGTTTTATTGAGTCTTAGTTGATTTTTTATATGCATATGTGTTTTACTTATGGTATTTTGTACTGTGTTTATTTTATGTTTTGTTTTTAGGCACCTTGTGCTCTGTGTAAGCTGCTCCGAGTCCCTTTGGGGAGATGGTGGTGGGATACAAAAATGCAGTTATTATTTGAAACACAACAACATTAGTACACAGCAAATAAGATCACTATGCTGGCTGTTGTATTGGATCACACATCGGACACTTCCCAAGTGTCTAAGACTGTGTGATGTATTGCCGAATAATGCATGCAGATCCGAGTAGGGTGGACTTTTAATATTATTTAATACTACATTATTATTATTATTATTATTATTATTATTATTATTATTAACACTTCCCAAGTGTCTAGGACTGTGTGATGTATCGGCGAATAATGTGATGGTGGCCTTTTGCAGCTGACAGATGGTAATTTCGTCAGCGCCAATTGTATTTAAGTGCACACCAAGGTCTTTAGGCACTGCACCCGGTGTGCCAATCACCACTGAAACCACCTTTACTGGCTTGTGCCAGAGTCTTTGCAGATTATTATTATTATTATTATTATTATTAGGACTAAAACAGAGTGGATTCACCACTTGCTCCATTGACATGGGATCTACCCTTGTTACCACAGGGATCCCTTTTTTAGCAGATAACACAGATATGTCATCTTCTGGACAATATTAGCCCACAAGTACATGTTCTTGAGTGGGCAGGCCAGTGGGGAATGATGACGACGACAGACATCTATGAGTCAGAGGAACACTTTAACTTTATCTTAGACATATGCAGATTGTAAAGGCATGCTGAAGCACTTGGTGATCCCCAGAGAGATGTTCTATCTGGTAAGAAAATATGTTTTTTAATTCACTGTCTTCCTCCTTTTTGTGGGGGCTCCTGCACCCTAAACCCCACAAAGTGGAGGACATTATTGCCTTCAAAAACTGCAGACGGTATGCAGTCATTGGGTGACTGCTGTGGAAGTTATAAGCATTTTTTTT